TTTTAGGTTATTTTAACAAAAATCTGCAAACTGGAGTATGACAGATTGTAACAGTGTAACCTGAATACCCAGTGTACATTTTTACTTCATAAAAAAAGTATTTTATGGAGAACTGGAATAGGTATTTTTTTTAATGTTAATTGTAACTTATTTTTTATTCCTTGTGTAAAAATTGCTATAACTGGCATAATATATACAGTGACAAACTGCCCAAAATACTGTACCTCCTTTTGTTTATTTGGAGGAAAACACTTTCTGGAGAGGTATGCCAGTACCAGGAAAACAGCCAGAATGGGGCTCTGCTCATGTGGTTTGCAGTCTTAGTCTTTTTAAAAATACAGGTCCTTATGTACAGGAAAGAAGTGATGTCAGCTTTTGTTTTAGTTAAATACCAGAATAACCACTGCTACCTTGATACAACACCATAATTGTATTCCTGATTTTATTTTATATCTTAGTGACTGAACTTTGCAGTTCCGTTTCTTCATGGCATAGCAAACTTCAGAGAAATGCAAAGGCACTGCCTGTCTAACTGCATCGACTTAAGTTGTGTTTTGTTTCTGTTGTGAACTGGCTTAATTGGCTTGGGCCATATCAAGTTTGCAAAACCTCAACTGGAAAGAATGGAGCAGGATTTTAAAGGATTTAAAAGTCTACGGTTCTCAAGCAGAAGCTGAGGATAACAAATGCATACCACACGGTATAAGTCTTGTTTCTACTAATGTGAAGACACCAGTGCAGAGGTGAAGGCTCTTTCTACCTGTTAGGATTCCTCTGCAGGTGTCCCTTGGGACGGAAAACTTCACCCAGTTAATTCAGTGAAATGCACTTCTTGCATTTGTGACCCTCTCTCCCGTAATGACACGAATTTAGCAGAGGGCTCTTTTAAACAATGAGGCTAAATGTAGCAATGAGCTTTGTCTTCACTTTTGCCTAACTTGCTGCTCAGAATAAAAAAGAAGCAAGGTTGCCTTAAACTGTAACAGAAGGTAAAACATCCCAGTGTCAAAACTGAGCTGCTCACAAATGACACTTTTCAAACAAATTGAACTTACTGTTTTTACTAGGCAACTTTTTAACCACTACTTCGATGCTTGGTATGCCAAAACAGACCACATAAGTTTTATAGCCTTATTCTTTGCCTATGAAGAAGCCTTTTTAGGCCAAGAAACTGATTGAGGAAAGCCCGCGCACGTTCCACTGCCATCAAATCAAGGAACTTCGGGGCCTTCTCTGAAGCACACTATTGTGTGTTTTTTTGTAGTGGACAAGTATCATTTCTCTTTAATTGCTTGACATTGATTTATTTTTTTTCTGAGAGACAGGAATAAAATAGCCATGAGGTGCAGGAGCATCCTACTTCAAAGACATAGGAGTCTCTGAGGTTCCGGTGCTTTTGTAGTGATTTATTTGGGGTTTTTATTAGCTGTTTGTGGCCAGGCAAAATCCCAGATGTGTGGCTCAGACCCCAGGCTGTTTTGAGGGTGGTTTGGCTTTGGGTTTTGGGGTGTGTGTTTGTGCTTTGGGTTTATTTTTATTATTTTTCTTTCTGTGGTGTGTGGATGAAGCAGTTCAAGAGAGAATCAGGTTTGGGGAAATCCGAGCAGTGTCAGTGTTTTCTGACTCAGGCTGGATTGCTCTGAAGTCTTGAGAGTATTTGGGTTTTTTTCCATGACCTAAGAGCAGAAGACTGCATAATACTTAAACCATTTCCAGAATTACTGATACTCAAGAGTAGTTTGGGGAGTTTCATTGAACCTCACTAAGGGAGCATGTAAAAGCGTGGCATAAATCAATGTGAACGTCTGAAGCTGTCCTTCATGGACTGTGCCTGAAGTGAAGGTGTGGAGGTGTGTCCCCTGAGGACAAGCATTCTGAAAACTAGTGTGTGAGAGTAGATTTTGTTACTTCTTCCTTGTGATTCTTCGCGTTCTTTCATCTGTTTTCAGGAACATGTGAAGATCTTTCTCACTAGGTGTTGCAGTGAACAGTTACTACACTGTATTTGCATTCCTGGTTGCTTGTTGGGCTACTCTTTTCTAATTTGTAGAAGCAGACTTCCTTTTCGTGTAGTCTGTGATACTTTTTTATCTGCCTTGAAAAGAGTCCTTCTGAAAAGTCTGGACTTAGGAAATCCAGCTTTAGCTGTGATGCCTTTTCCTGCTTTGTAGGTCATTTCAGATCTATGGTAAGAATCTTAAAGTGGATAAGAGGCAGGAAAATAGCAGAGCTGCATGAGCATTTATAGAATTTTGTTTCCTGAATTAAGAACAATTTTTAAAACGGCCCAGGGGGTCAGAGGAAAATGCTGTGCTGCTTTCTCCTGAGGATATCATTTGCAGTAAAGTTGTTGTACAGCTGTGGAAATCCAGGCTTCTCTGGAGTTTTGTGGGGAGGTTTCCTATTTGTTCAGCTGGAATTCAGTGCAGCTTTTGCTATCAGCTGTTCACTTCTTCTGGAGGCAGTTGCAGAAGAGAGATGCCAAACTAATATACTGGCTTCGTAGCCATTAGTGGCATCCTCTCCAGCCTTGAAACTTAGGGTTTTGACTGCTGATACACCTCTGGTTGAAGAGTTCTGGGTGAAAAGCAGTACTGCACCTCTGAAGCCTGTTTCAGGACTATTTTTGTTTTCAGTTTGTTTTTTTTATGCAAGTAAAAAGTTGTGGTTGGAAGGGTGAGTAGAGTGAAGGTTTATTTTGTGGTTAGCTGTGTTTATCTTATTAGGCAAATATTAAATAAGGAGCTCTGGACTTGCTATATGGCTGACTCCATATGGCAGACCCTTCTTGGGGGCAAGGCACCATTTTCCTCCTAGCAGGATTGACATTGTGTCTGTTAAGCTGTGAGCCTCCCCAGCAGACAGAAAGTGCTCAGAGGCATTGCATGATTTTATAAGACAAAGAATGGACCAGGCACTACTGAAACCAGTTACATCATTCTCTTCAAAAGCTTGAGAACTTGTGTCATAGCATACCAAGCCTTGCCTGAGCTCCAAAAGGAGGGTGTGAGTAGCATAAAATGATCACTTGGAAGTTCACATGTTCTGCAAAGCTTAACCTTCCCCAGCCTGACAGACTCATGTATTGAATAAGACAATGGTAGGACTGGTCAACAGTTGTTTCTCCTTTCTCCTTCAAATGATAGGGGAAAAATTACAGCTAATTGGCAGTGCAAAACACTCTGTGGCCTATTGCTGCTGCTTCTATATGTGGAAGGGGACAAAAGGAAAACTGCTGCATCTGTTGGTATGAAGATGCATTAAATATCCCAGCTTCTGCTTGCCTTGTGTCACTTACCTGTGGGTTACAGACTTTAACATACTGGCACATGAGCTGCCTCCTGCAAAATAGCAGGAGTTTGGCTGTGCAGTATGTTTGAAGTAGTGCAGTTCTTAGTGTGCATTTCAAACTGTACAACATGGGTAAATGATAACTGAAAATTCACAATAAACTGGAGGTTCCCAGAAACAAAATGTGTTGTTAAGAAAATGTTCTCCCCTTCTTTTGAATTAAAACACAGGTACAGATGAATCGTGGTTTTCAGGCTTGTAGGATATTATCATGCAAGCAGTCTGAGTTGTCCAGAGTTGCAGAGTATGTGAGGGAGGATAAGGAAAAGGTTTCAGCTGCTGTTTGTAAAATACTTAGTTGTGGAAGAGCGAACTGTGTAGGTCTATATTCTGTTATCAACACCTGGCAGCTTCTCAACTTTCATTTTGCTGTAATAGTTGAACGGTCTCCTTGAAGAATGGAAGTGGAATAAAGCCACATGATTGTGTATGTAACAGTTTAAGCTGTGTAGAACACGTGCACAGATTGACCATGGGTTTCTTTTCTCACTTTGGTATAAATTGTGAGCATAATAATAAAATTTTACACAGCAAGAGAAGAAAAAAAGAAGACAAAAAATAAAAAAATAAAAGTTCTCTATATTGTTACAGTTTGTCAGTCTGACTCTTCTTTGTTTTGAATAGGATGATTCACAGCATTCAGTAGAGGTTTACTTTGTTCTGGGCTTTTTTCCTTTTTTAAGAGGGCTGGATGAAATCGGACAGGCTACTTGGAAGCTGCAGCACTAGCAGCAGTGTTGCAAGTTTTTGTCTCAGTGTGCCAGAACCGCACACCTTGTTGTGTGGCAGGTACATTGGAGGCACCAGCGGGTGCTTCAAAGATGATGTACTCACTCTCTTGCTTCATGGCCCTTATGAAGAGAAGTTCTGTAGAGCTGATGGGAGTTCACTCACTGCAACTTTAAGGACCAGTTTTGAGTTTCATTAAAAAATACCAATTTTGATCTTTTGACTGGTAGATTTTGTTTTTTCTCCAAACATCCCAAATAAGCACATCTCTGCAATTTTCTTTTTTGTATGGAAAATAATACCTTAGTGGAGATAACGCATGGCTTGAACCCAGGGCTCCCAGAGTTCCAGTCATCTTAGAAATGTGATTTGGGTTAATACAAAACTTAAAGGAGAAGAACTCTTCTTTAGATAAACTATAGGATTTTCTTGCTCTTTTGGAGTAAGTTACAGCGCAGGACTTTTTAGTCAAAACGTTTTCTTAGTGACCTTTCAGTTAAATGTGCTACTTACCAGAACAACTTCAAATGGATGCTACAATCTGTTTTTACAGTTTTGCTTTACAATAGTGAATTGTGTTGTTCTTTTCCCTACTAGCGAACCAAGTCAAAAGTTCTTCTGACAAAGTCTTGGTCTCTTCACACCTTTTCTTGCCCATTTCTTTTTTGCTTCCATTTTTACATTGATCAATGATTGGCCAGTTCTGAAGGCCTGTCTTCCTTAAAGCTGGTACCTATGGAGCCTTTCAGTTATTTTCTTTAATGATATCAAGGATTAAGCTGGCAAGTAGTTGAGATATTAAGCTGATTTCACATTGGACATAAAACTCCAAAAGCTGCTGTATATTCAAGAGAATGATGGAAGAGTGCTCAGTGTTTTGTCATCTTGTTTCTTTCAAACCAAAACAACAACCCTGAAAATTAGGCCAAAATCCGGCTGATTTTATTTTGGGGTCAATTAAACTGACTGTACTTACATATTCTAATAATCTTCCCAAAGTGGTCATGCTTACATAGTCTCTGATTCCTCTTTCCATAAAGAAATACATAATGCTGTTGGGAAATAGGATTTTGAGGGGATACAGGGGATGTGTGTCTGTATAGATGCATAAATTCACACCTATAAGAGTTTGTCTTGGATGTGTATCAACTTCCATAATGTTACAGAGACTGCAGTTACAATAAAAACCATTTAAAATCTCTACTATGAGGTACTAAAAATGAGAGTAAAGTGCTCAGTCCTGGTATTTTCACAAAGGCAATAGACCAAGCTGTACCTGGATCGTGCAGTCCCACGTTTCTAGCACAGCAGAGAACCAACCTGTGCAGCCACATCTGTAACAACCAACATCAGTGCTTGGGATTCATAATATTAATAATGTAATCTTGCATAATCACATGTGAATTGTTCAGTCACCACTATGAGGATGCTGACATGGTAGTATCAAAAGCAGGACCAAGAGTTAATAGCTCATTACAAGGTAGCAATAAACACCCCTTCCACAATTCATCTACAATCCCAGTTTTGTCTGATTTGAGGGAAGACTTCCAGTTGTCAGCATAGGCAGAGTAAGGATGCACACTCCATGACTTTACCATGCAGAAAAAGCTTGATTGTCATCAATCAATCAAAAGTCATCACTAAACTAATCCTCATTGCCCAAAGGAAAATGTTGGGAAATCTCAAAGTAGTTACAGAATATGTACACTGGTCTGCCTACTGGAGTGTGGTTTTCCCTTTTTCCAGGCCTTCTTTCCATACACTGTTTATCTCAATGAGTGAAGCACATGCTGTAGGAAATGCTGTTGTTTGTACTTGAGGATGAATGGAGCAAGTTACTCAAAATATAAGTCTTCAGTATGATCTTGAATATGGCCTCTGGCTCTAGTGTCACGCATACATCGTGAGCTGCAGCCACTGGAAAGGAGAATTGGAATTAAAGATAGAAGACACGCTGGCATCTTCCAAGAGATTTTGGAAGGCAGCTGCTTGCTGGCACTTGGTATGGAGCACAGTAGCAGTGGGGAAGTTTCTGTTAGGCTTCTTGCTCCTATTTCTCTTTCCCTTGGAAAACTGGAAGGGTTTTTTATGATCTCCCTAGCAGAAGATGTGCTTTTAAGCTTAAACTTCCTAAGTCGTCTTAATTAGATTTTAGAAGTAAAGAACTACGTTAAACCCTGTTATCAGTTAGTGCCGTATTAGTATGTTTGATTTAAATTGCCTCATAAAATAAAAAGATCTGAGAAATTTCTGGAAGCCCTTTAAAGGTGATATGAAGAGCCATGCCCTTCAGCACCAACTGGAGTCCTACAGAGCAGCCGTTGCTGGCACATCATGGATGTTTTCCATGTAGAATTGGTAGCAAAATTTTTGGGAGGTTTTGTAACCTCTTACCAATTGGATGGCAATTTCAGAGCAACTCTTGCAGGCTCTCTTCAGAACACATGCAATGAACAGTAACATTAGAATTTAGTATTGTGACATTGTGTTAGAAATACTGGTGTAAAGTAGTTTACCTCCAGGACATTGAGCTTAATGATGCCATCTCCATCTTTATCAAAGGCGTGGAATGCCCCTGAAGCAAGGAAGCAAAAATATATGGAGTAGATTAAATAACCGTGTGCATAAAGATGATCCCAGATAGCAAATCAAATTGTGCTCGTATTGTGCAAGCCTGTACAGGTATTTACTTAGCTAACACAAGGAGAGACACGGTGGTTTCTTTTGTGTGTGAATGAGATGGGTGTCCTATTTAGGTTCCCTAAGCACATATCTTTAGCTATTAATACTATATCCCGGCAGCAGTGCTCTGAACAAGCTTTGCCTTGAGTGCGACTGCGTTCTGGGGGTGAGGAGGGGAGGCAGACACTCACTGAACATGGCGTCCAGGCGCACGAAGCAACAGATGAAGCTGTCGAAGTCGATGTTCATGTTCTTGTCGGCGTAGCGCATGGTGATGATGTCGTAGAGCTGGTTGTTCAGCCGAAACCCTGCAGAGGAAAAGGGACAGGGTGCAGCTGGGACAGGGGAAGCACTGCTGCCTGTCAGGCCTCCACAGTGGTTTTGCCATAGGCAGGTCCCAGGCTCAGATGAGGCTCAGGCTGTGTCCACTCCATATAATGAAGTACAGTTGTAAGGAGCTTACTTGGAAATTACAATCTGGGAGGGCTGATAGCACATGAGTTATCTCATGCTGTGAATATGAAGAGGAGAGGCCTACACCAAAGAGCCTGCAGCTTAGCTGCAAGAACTGGTGACAGAAATATAGGAGGAAGTTGTTATGAGAACATAATTACACAACAGTAAACAAATAGACGAGGAGGTAGCTCTTATAACTGAGCCATGGCACTGCTGCAGCATCATAAGGGCCTGTCATGATTTGGGTACCGCTGGTTGTTAGCTATATGCAAGGTCATGCATACCCTGCAGCCTGTAAGACTGAGATATTGCTGTTGTAAAATGTGTTTTAAATCCAGGGCAGGAGGCATTTATATTTCTTTTTTTGACATTGACAACTTTCCTAGAGAGAATGGAAACCTGGAAAATGAAAATGACCTGAATTTCTACTGTGGCAAGCGTTCAAATCCGTGTGTAGTTCTGCCCTTAGCAGAGGGTCAAATCACTCATGTTTTGTAAAGTACAAAATAGCCATGTTATTTCTGTGCCATGATGAACTGGTAACTGGTGTACCGAAATAGCACTGAAGATGAAATGTCACTGTATCATTACATCTAGGTTTATAGGGATACTACAGATTTTACAAACAAAACAAAATCAGGTTTCTTCAGCTGTTGGGCACTGGGGGAAGTACCTGCATCTTTCACCGCATTGCGCATCTCATAGCTGTTAATGGTGCCTGAGTGATCCGTGTCGTAACGCTTGAAAATTTTCTGGAAGAAGGAAAAGCAATAAATACACAACAGAAAAAAGCTTGTACTTGAAGTACAACAGGAAAACTTCAACAGCCTGTTGAGCGTATGCGCTGACTGGATATGGGATGTGTGCCTTGGGCACTCGCGGCTTTGCCATTTGCCTTACACTGCTGCAGCTGGCCAGCCTCGGTTTATAGCTCAGAGCTCCTCTCGGTCAGAAAGCAAAATGTAACATAGATCCATGCTGTGGGAAGCAAAAAGCTCTCCCCTAGAGATTCTCCTTGTTTGACTTGAGTTTAGTCTGTTAATACTCTCTCTTGATTGTCCTAATTAAGCTATCTGTGAGGCCTGATTCGAGTTCCCATCATCCTCTTTCTTCAATTTGTATGCCTCCAAGCTAGTCTCATGAGGGTAGTTCTTAAATGAGTCCTGGAGCTTCAAGCTATTTGCTTAGGTTGTGAGTAGCATGAGAAGAGACTTTTTCTAAGCAATTTTTTCTTTTTATTGCAGCTTTTAAAGCTTTTCTTTTGCTGTAATATACGTAGGGAGTTCTGTTTTTCCTACACAACTTTTTACGCTGTAGAAGCTGTGAAGAACAGCACTGAGGATCCCAACAATACCTGCCAGCTTTTAATCTTGTCCCAGAGATGTCGAAACTCATCGAAGTTTATCCTCCCTGAGCCGTCTGTCTGTGATGCAAACATTCAGGTAAAAAACCCTCACAATATTTTAAAGAGAAAATTACTTAAGTCTGTAACTACCGGTGAAGGGATGGATGTGAAACTGAGTTCAGGATCTCCTTAGCATTCAGAGCTGGCTGAGCTAATATTTGCCTTGGTTATTGAGTGTATTATTTGTTTCAGGGGTGTGAAGTGCTGTTTGTGTAGCAGCAAACATCTGGTACTGGAGCAAGGCTTTCTCCTGGTGCTCTTACCTGCATGAGGAGGATGTTTTAGTGGAAGCTTTCTAAATACCTCCAAATCTGAAGCTTACCTGATATTTTTTAAGACAATTGAGGTTTATCCTAGAGTGAAGCTCTTTCTGCCTTGCTTAAAATAAATTGGGAACTAAGCAAAATGTTGACTAAAGCCACTTACAAAAATGTGTTTAGGCTCCAACTATTATGGCTCTGGATTGTAGTTACAGTTTTGCTCTGGTTATGTTTGAATGCACTTTTTCTTTCAAAAGTATGCATTATTTCAAATAGGGAAACTGATGCTGTAGTAGAGGTAACCCCATGTGGCATTGTGTTGTGTGTTTTATTATACTTGCTTTCAGGCCATTTCTGTGTGCCCTGCATGGAATGTACAATACATTATAAACTTAAGAGAAATATAGTGAGTTTGTTGGCAAGAAATATGTTGACTTAGTTAAAAAAAAAAGTCTTTAAAAATTATGCTTGAGTACCTGGGCTGTCCAGTCCCTGATACCCAAGGAAGGGTATCATATAGACTGACTGATTCTGTAGTTTTCTGGTTTGGGATCGTTTCATCTGCCAAATACACTTATGTTGAGATGACTGGAGTTGAAACATGTCAAAGAGGAATGCAGTGTGGTCTCACTACAAACTATAATGTACTGTTCTGCTTCCCTGGTTTACTAAGTTGTGTGTATGTGTGTGTAGTGGTGGAAAACAGAACCTAACTGGGCTAGTGTGGTATCAAGCACTCCTCTTTCACCAGAAAAGGATACATCCATTAAAGCAATCATGCTGCGGCAGGATTCCAGTTCAAATCCTTCTGTCCGTAGGTCCTTATCTGAAATAAATGATCCTAGGTGAAGATCATGCAAGTCATCAAGCACTTCTTCCTTTTAGGTGTAACTCAAGGTAGAAGCCAAACCTACTTCCTTCATCCACTAAGACATGAGTGGTAGAGAAATTTGAAAAGACTTCTAACTAACATTATTAATTGTGAACTGCAGATTACTTTTTTGACCTGTTATATACAATAAAAATCTCTGTAAAACTCTACTAACCTCCAGCACACTCAGCAAGCACAGAGTGGGTAGGCTGAAGTTTGCTGAACAGGGAGAAAGGTCTGACTAGACATTAAATTTGTTAGAAATGCTGCATTATCCTGTGTTGTGCTTCCAATCAGCATTTGCTCATTTATACATTATCACTACTGGACCACTCATACAGAGGATCTCTATGAAAAGCTCAGCTTGCTAAAGTCTCACGTGAAAAGTCCATGAAAGTCTAACTAGGAAATTTGAGAGTTTGAAATTGTAAATAGTTTTTAGAGTGCAACTGCAGGGTGGAGGGTTCCATTATAGCACAGATTTCTTTGTCCAGGGTTACTGAAAAACCAGGCTTAAACTTACGTTTTTTTACAACGTTATTGAGAACATTCCTGAGTTCTTCAGCATTGATCTCCATGTCCTGGTGGGAAGTGAGGTAAGAATATCATTAATTATAACATTCCTTGTTAAGCATATAATTTTATGGATAGATGTGCTAAAAGTATGAAGTCTCTGGTCACTTTTCAGTATGGCATGCACATTCTCTAAACTAGAGAGTATTCTAGTTCATACAAACATTAGTCCAAATCTTTCTTGAGGCTGCAGTAAAAGGCAGGTCTGAATTTATCATATAGTGCCTGTTAAATTTCAACTAGAAGAATGACCTTTGATTTTAAGCCTCTGAATGAGCCCAAAACCAAAACGCAAAAATCACTGTAACCCATTTGCAGCCTCTTGATTTGTACAGTTCTTTGATGTCTCTTTACTTTTAACTTCCCTTGTTAAGCATATACAGAAGGGCATTGCATTTCTAACTTGTTTATGCATCTTAAAGTAGTGCTAGAAGTAAAAGCATGAATTTAAATAAGGCTCCCTTGTACACAATGGGAATAGCTTATATGTACATATGAGGATAGCTGTGTACTTAATTGGATTTTGATTTGATTTTGCTTAGCCCCAGATCTCAAAGGAGATTTGATTTAAGCAGTTGATTAAGGTGCTGTTGTGGCTCAGCTGCCTTGGTGGCAGAGACAGGGACTATTTCTGTACTCACATCCCCTGCAATCTGTCGGAAAATATTCCTGAACTGGTTTTCTTCTTCACTCCCCTCTCGAGTTTTTGTTGAAGGACGCTGAAAAAAGACAAGTAAAGAGAGACATCCTTAGACCAGCAGGGAGCAGAAGGGAAAGGGCCCGTACAACTCCCTCACCCTCAAGCTATGGAGCCTCTTTGTGAATCTGGAGGCCTTCAGAGGAAAGGGTTGTCCTCATTTTCCTTTCCCTTGTTTTTGGTTTAATGTGTTCTCCGACAAAACTGCTGAGTATTTAACTTCGTCCCATTGCTCTCCTTTCTCTTGAAGAAGCCTAAATAATTACTTTTAGTAGCAGATTTTTTTGTTTCAAAACGTTGTGAAGGAGAAGTTTGGGGCAGAAGCAGCGTATCTGCTCCATAGCTGCTCTGTTAGGGTATGAATTGACCAGAGGGGCTTGAGAGCTCTTCTTAATGGGGGGGGTCTAGCTGGAGCCAAGCAGTACATAAAACGGGGGAAAAAGATGAAAGTGAAGCTTTCTCAGAGTCATGCAAAGAGCAAGCCTAAACTCTGAGGCTGAAAAAGGAAACTGTTCTATTCCTTCTTTCCCCAGTATTGCTTTACAGGAATTCTGTAAAGAAGTAGAGTGAATTTGTTGACTCAGTTCTAATTTTTGTTTGCCTAAGTGCAGAAGAAAGTTAAGACTGGTTTCCACTTTTATGCTCTGGCAGCCACACAGCAGAACAGCACACTCCCTGTAAGCAGGCATCCCTCATGCCTCCAGATGCCAGAAACATCTTGCTGTTGCATCTCATGTCCCTCACCCATCTGCAGGCAGAAGCTCTGAATGTGCTATTCTATGTTCATCCTCTTTGGTAGTAAGGGAATGGAGGAGGATGCAGGAGTTTCTGGGTTTACTCATCCTTTTCTCCTCTGGCCAATGGGGACTGGTTTAGGGATGTGTAATTTGTAATGAGGAGAGGCTGTGATAATTTCCAGGTGCTCTCAAAGCCTCTCAGGTGCATTTTATGGATATACCCCATGTAAGGAGGGTACCAGTTCAGGGAGCTGAGCAAGTGTGGATTGAACTGTGCTGCTTGTGGGGAAGGGATCTCTCACAGCTGGAATCCTTGTGTGAGAGAGCAACCAGGATATGTTTTCAACTAAACCTTCCAGCCCAGTTAGTTAAATAACTGAAGGGATAGTCTTTTTGCTCATGCTTACTAGATCCACATAAGCCAGATGCAAACTGTGCTAAAACGTGAAAAGCTGTTAAGTATTTTAGGACATTTCTTTGCCCCATTCTTGCTCTCTCCCCAGCCATTCTTTTATGCTAGCCAGACCAACCCCTATTTCCCCCTTTGCCAGTTGCTGCGGAAACCTTTTTCTCATCTACGTGGGGTTTTTCACCATCTTTGCCAGCATCTTCATCTGCATTCAGTTCCTTATTGCTGTTGGCTCTGTCAGAAACAAATATGATAGGCTAGAAGAAGAACAAAGAGAGCAAAAGAGAAATGGAAATTACACAAAAAATAGTAGAAGGAAAAATATTCAGCGACAACCATTTTGTAGTAAAGCACATGCAGCAACAGCTCCTGTGTGACTGGAGAAGCCAGAGCTGGGAATGCAAGAAAAGAAACCAAAAAAGAAAAAAATACCGAGGAATTTCCAAAGTTACTGCTCTCCTCGTGATAAAAAACCCCTGTAAAAGTCTTTGCAAACTAGTGCAGGCTCTGGCTTCTAGCTTTCCTTTTCAGAAAGCCAGTCACCGTTTAAATGTGGCTGGGTTTTTGTTTGTTTTAAGCAAAATAAGCTTCTCAAATTCTCAGTTAAATGATGAACTTGCCCCTCCATAGGAAGGACAGTAACACTGTATGAAGACAAACAGAATCTGAATCCTACACAGAGAAGTAGTTATTTGTGTGGGAGCTTGTTAGTTATGTGAAGCAGATGTTCTTTCCTTGTATTAATTCTTGAAGCATTCAGCTGAAAGCAGCTCATGCAATGGTTTTGGTTCAGTGCATTGCAATCTTGCCACAAGATGCAAATGTGTTACCCTAAAGTATTAATTGCAATCAACCTGTCTTGAGCTTAAAATGTCTGATTGCATTTTCAAGGTCCTAAATGTGTTGTGTAGAATTGAAAGCAGAATCCTGGACTGCAGGAAAGAGAAGTAGCTGCCCTAGGCAACAGAAAGCATGTGTCTGACAAAGGGATGCTTTGCACTAGGAGGGGGTGTCAGGGTGTGCCTGTGATGAGCAGTTTGAGCAACCCAGAGAATCAAGCTTATAAAACTGAAACGTTTTTGTTACCCTTTTGCCACCCCTTAAGTGACGGGGTAGGGGGTGTATGATGCTAATGCTATTTCATTAGACTTCAGTGTAGGAAGGCAAAATCTTTGCCGCCTACAAGTGTCCTCTTATCCAGTGTCTTTCATTAACTACATCAGTTTCCAGATGCAGAGAAATCGTGATAGCAAGGAACTCTGCTCCTGCCGCATGCATTGTGCATGCTCTTTGCCTTGCTGGCACTCAGCACATTGCACAAATACCCACCTTGCCCTTTTTCTTTTTCTGTACGAAAAGAAACAAAATATAAAATAAAAGTATTTTAAAACAACAGAATTATATAGTTTACCCAGATTATGCAGAGCTGATGGTAAAGTGTTTTTTTTTTTTTTGCCCTTCCTGACATTTCTTTTCCTCATTTCCTATATTCATACAGTTTTCAAATCTCAAAAAATAAGAGAAAATGCACCCACCAAAATATTGACAGAAATTGCAGAAACCATAGCAAACAGTGTCGTCTTATCTGGGCCGTTGTCTGCTTGAATAAAGTCTCTATTGTACCTTTAGCTATGACTATTCCTTTTTCCCAACCTGTCAGTGTAGTGGAGATTGGACTTCTGTGCCCCCAGACCAATGATATCTGCAGTGGCAATTAAATCCCACCTGATCTGGACAGATATTTTTGTTATCATAATGGCCAATGAAAGAGTAACACTTCTGAGCAAGGTTTGATGGAGCTCAGTTCCGTGCAAGAGCATTTCCTCTAATTTTTTTCCCCAGACTAATTGTATTGCTAGCTCTAGTATATTCCCACAAAGATGTGTAAAACGCCAGGGTGAAGACGTAGAGCTTGTCATGGGTGATAGTTTGAATCAGATTAGCATTAGGATCTCATTCCAGAAAGCATATACCTCAAAATAAAATGCTTCTTTCTTTGTTAGATGAGGTGCCAATCTCACAAACAAAATATCTTAAGGCACAGTTAGGCCTCCCTGGTAAATGAATAAGCGTCACTGATGGAGGTAAAAGCAATGCTTAGCATCCAGCTCCTTTGTGCCAGGAGCAGATTCCGAATTTGGCAAAAAGGTTTTGTTCTGACAAAATCAGAACATAGTGTATATAAAGCAAGTATTAATATAAGTATCTTGATGAAGAAAAAATGTGGGGATTTATGCTAAAGGAGCTGTCATGGGGCTCCAAATAGTTTCCTGCTGTAGCTTTCCCTAGATGTCATGCTCCTCCTCTCCCTACCCCTATTTGTGTACAAAAGAGGCCCAGGACACTACTTACCGATGGACGATCTGCCTCAATCATATTTTCAACCTCCCTAGAAGAAAGCAAAAAGTAAATAAATAGCAGAGTGACTGTTCCCAATGTTGCTTGTTTCTGTAGCTGGAGTATAAGCAGCCACTTGAGCTTTTCAAGCAGCCACTTGAGCTTTTCAAACAGCCAGTGGTGTGGGCTGGTTTCCAAGCATTACAACTGCAGGCTATAGATGGAAGTTTTTCCCAGTTTGAGCTGAGCATCACAAGTACCACTTCCAGGAGGGCTGCTGCATGGTTTCTAAAGAGCCTTGATAACACTGAATTTGGATTCCTGGGAGTAAAATAGAAGCTGTTTGTCCTAATTAGAGTGACACTGGCTGCAATTTGCTGAGCTCTGGGGAACTAGTTGAAGAGCAGCATGGACAAGAAGTAACTACCTACTTCTGTGTTTCATTTGTGACTGAAATTAGATCTGGTTCAATGATCTATCTGGCCAAAAACTTCAGCCAGTGGCATATAGCAAAAAACCAAACAGGTTCACTTTCATTATTAAAAAATCACTAATGGTATGTTTACAAAGGATATCCTGCAAGTAGTAGGCTTCTCCAAAGACAATTCAAAGCAGGCTCTCTCCTTCTTTCTATAGGGGAAGCTTGGGGAAATTAGTTTGTAGCTTGGAGTTCCTAATGAGGTTAAGAAAATTAAAATCTGGGTATAGCAAATGGGGAACGTGACTGTCGCAGACAAGTGAGCTCTCCTCCATCTTTGTGACCAGTTAAATGAATCTGTAACTTACTCTGAAAGACTTCTTTTCTCTGAGAAGACCCTCAGGATGAATTCTCCCTCCTGGTGGGGTTCGTATGTTGATGGGATGATGACATACTCGCTGGGAGGTAACCGGAAGCGCTCAGAGATTTCTCGCATGTTTATATAGGTCTTACTTCTAGCTTTGGAGGCATTGTAGAGGAAAAAGTCCTTTTGCAAGTGGTGCTTAGTACCATGCATCTGCAGAACAAATGAGTCCATTTGTCTTCAAGGAAGTCTCATCCATTGCCCAGGTGGTTTGTCGTGTGGGCAGTGCATGGTTGAGACAGAAAACACCAATGGAGCAGCAGTCTAACAAGCAAGGAGCTGACAAGGGATGCTAGCTGATAACAGATACCAAGTCTGTCACCTTTAAGTTGCTACTGGCTGGGTCTAGTTGGCCTCTGAGGGCTTCTGTGTACCTTTAATACACTTTCTTCAATGGCTGAAAATGCCATGGTTTTTCCAAACAGATTCTAAGACTATAGAGAAAATTCTGTGGGTGCAGGGTATAGGTCATTGGCATTATTTGCAGGAGGAAATGGAAATGGTTTAGGGTGGTTTTGCATGGAGTGCGAAGGCAAAGTGCTTGCTGATGCTGCTTTCTGCAGCCCAGGCTGACTGACTGACATGCAAGCCATGGCCAGGTCTAATATGGAATAGATAAAGAAGGACTGAGGAAAAGGTGCAAGTGAGAAGGAGCTAAAAATTACTCACAAAATGTTACTAATAAACACTCAAAGCAGAAAGGTTAGCAGTTTCACTTCTGTTACCTCCCTGAAAACAGAGTTCACTGGACAGTTTCCTGCTGACTTACAGACAGGCACAATAGTAACACTAGCTGTGAGTATACACCAAGATGTCAATCTGCCTCCGTTCTGCTCATACCTCTTTGGGCACCTGAGGGAGAAACAAAGAGAAGAAACAGTCAGAGCTGCTAGTGAGTCCTCTTGTTTATAGATCATGCAGAAGGGTGTTCACATAGATTTCTGTGGATGCAGGCAGTGGTTAAAATGCCCCAAATTAGATAAATATGCTAAGCAATTTCTCCCTTTCTAGATTTCTCAGGATCTACATGAGGTCTACTAGATCTGAACTAAATGTTTGTGCAAAGGACTGAATAAATTGACTTCCTCACGAAGTCAGTAGCAGGGACAGAGAGGTTAATGGCTACCTGTGTGTCTTGGATGTCTGTTTCCTTTTTTACACTATTCTGCCAATGAGTATTCAGTTTCAGCAAGATGAAAGAGAGATGGAAGAATTTATGGGAAAGAGTATGTTCAGATCTGTCACTAACTCACTACAGAAGCTTAAAAAGGTATGTTATTTATAGATGGGGTAAAACCTGAAGTTACTATGGTCTGAATGGTTACATAGCCTTTACTGGCGAAGTAAAGATTGCAATTCAAGTTATTAGGCTGAATGATTTGGTGACTGTCTTGGTAAGGGCATAGTGTCAGGATTTGTGACTGTGGTACAAACAATAGTCTACAGCTAGTACCTCATAGATGGCAAAGCCAATGGTATATAGGTTGGCTCCCAGCTTGCGTTCTTTCCTCCTATTTTTCTGCATCAGTGCGACAAGGAAGCTGCAGATAACCTGTTCATCCTCAGGATCATCATCTTCCTCCAGGAGCTTCAAGCGATACTGGGGATTGGTCCAAAATGTATCTGTGAAATCCCACCAACAACCCAAAGCAAACATATAATACTTCAGTTTTCTGATGATACTCATGATCAAAGAGAACATTTAAGTTCCCTTCTTGTGGCTCCTGAGGGGAAGGTTAAAAGCTGGCTAACATGTACCTCTTTTTTATGTGTTATGTGGTTTACATAGTTCTAACAAAACTGCTCACCAAAGGAGGATATAAAAGGAAGAACTGAAAACTCACAAACTTTGAAGCACCTAAAACTATAAAAAAGTGGTTCCTGAGTGAAATCTGTTAGTGAAATGAATCTCTTTTATCTTGCTTGGGGCAGTGTGAAGTATCTGAATAATGATTTCTCTCTGCCTAGCCTGCCTTTTGGGCTTACAAGGTGTTGTCACAAACACACTGAGGAAGCAAGGCTTTTGCTTGGCTGAGCACTGATCAGGCTGTGATGTGACTTACCCTGTGGTACCTAATTCAGTCCCCACCAAAGAGGCTGTATCTCCTACCTGTTGCTTACCTGGATAGTTGCGGCAGCCTCCAGCTGAGCAGCCTCTCACCCAGCGCCCTTCATTGACCGACACAGTCCAGGTCTGGAGTTTATCAGCTTCCAGAGTATCAGGTGTGAGGTTACAGATCTCAAGTTTTGTGAAGTGCCTCATGAAATCTTCAAATGATATCCTGGAGGAATTGAGGGGAAATGAACGCAAATGGATTTACATGGTGGGCAGCTGTCTGAAAGATCTCACCTTGGTGAGGTGGAGGAGGGTGACCAATAATACTGCCACTATTAGGGGAAGTTTGCCATGACAGTGCCATGATTTCCTAATGCATTTGGGCTGCTCTTTGGTCAGTTACCACAATTACATTTCCAAACTGGGTGAAAGTGAGCTGAGAGGATGGTACGTAGGAAGAGTGATGGACAACTTCTGGAAGTGTAGCATAATTAGAAGGACTGTGCTTGTGGCACTCAATAAACCCTGGTGGTAGACTATGGGGACCACAAAGCAAGGCTTACTGGGAATATGAAGAGGAACAGGGATTACCACAATGGCTGTAGCAGATTTAGGTAGTGCAGTGTGATTAATTTTTGCTGTGGTTGCAGATCTCCTAGAGAAACACAGGGTTTTGACTGATGTCAAACAGCAGCCCAGAAAGCCAACCATATCCTGGGCTGCATCAAAAGGAGTGTGACCAGCAGGTCGAAGGAGGTGATCCTGACCCTCTGCTCTGCTCTCATGAGACCCCACCTGGAGTATTGTGTGCAGTTCTGGTGTCCTCAACATAAAAAGGACATGGAACTGTTGGAACAAGTCCAGAGGAGGCCACGAGAATGATCAGGGGACTGGAGCACCTCCCGTATGAAGATCGCCTGAGAAAGTTGGGGCTGTTCAGCCTGGAGAAGAGAAGGCTGCATGGAGACCTCATAGCAGCCTTCCAGTATCTGAAGGGGGCTTACAAGGATGCTGGGGAGGGATTCTTCATTAGGGACTGTAGTGATAGGACAAGGGGTAATGGGTTAAAACTTAAACAGGGGAAGTTCAAATTGGATATAAGGAAGAAGTTCTTTACTGTAAGGGTGGTGAGGCACTGGAATAGGTTGCCCAGGGAGGTTGTGAATGCTCCATCCTTGGCAGTGTTCAAGGCCAGGCTGGACAGAGCCTTGTGTGACATGGTTTAGTGTGAGGTGTCCCTTCCCATGGCAGGGGGTTGGAACTAGATGATGTTAAGGTCCTTTCCAACCCTAACTATTCTATGATTCTGTGTTCTCACCAGAACTCCCCATCCTCTGCAATCTTGTGCTGTAGGCGGATTTTCTCTTCTTCATTAATAAAGGTCCATTCCTCTGACCTTCAAAGGAGTAAATACAATATTATAATACGGTTTTCATTACAATTTCTACTCTTTACTGTAAGCCTTGTAGAGTGGGAAGTCAAGAGTCATCTTGCTACATCCATTTATTTTTTTTATTTGAGAGCCTTGCAACCATTTGTTTTCAATGCTACCTTCCTGTCCACATGCCCAAATAAAAAACCGGTTGTCCTACTTCTGTCTGCCTTCCCTTCAGGCTTCCCCTTAACAGCTCTCAAAAATCCATGGAACTGTGTTCATTTTGTTAAGCTTGAAGAAAAAAGTGTTTGCAGACTCTTATTGCTGAAGCAGCTGTTGGAATTCCTTTCCAGCTTTATCCAAACCTACTCGTGTACTGACATCTTGCTTCATCCAACTTTGTTGTAACTTAAAAGATTTTTCTACTGTCACATCTTGTTTTGAAAATTGTTAGGTGGTGTACTTGTTAGGTGGTAAAATCAGATTGTGCCATTAGACTGGATTCTCTCTTCATTTCCATTGATTAAAGCCTCTCAACATCTTTTTCAGGTACTTTTTCACAGCTTCAGCTAAGCACTCAAGAATGGCCAAATTCCAAGTGCAAGTGTCAAAATGACCCCAAAGACAGTTCACATACTTCATCAGTAAATGGTAGGGTCACACGCAAGCCACAGTCACGCAAATAAACCTTCAATTTTTTTCTCTCCAAATCATGTGAAGCTGTTTACTCACTTGTCACTCCAAGGTCCGTTCCATTCCACCTGTCCCCAGGGGTTTCTCAGCCGTACCAGACGTATTTTTTCCCCTTTAAATGTTGTCTAATTGAAAAAGAATGCAACAAGAATAGACTGAGAGTACGGTCAAAAGGAACGTTCTGCCTGTCAAACTGCTCATTCCAGCTCCTCCATTACCCAGCCTGACCTGCCTGGGGGGAGTGTGAGGGCTGTAAGACCAGGAGGTGACTGGCTGTAACCACCTCTGCCCAAACAGTTGAATATCCAGTTCCCCAGAAAGCCAAAACTTGGACACGTGACATGTTAGTTCTCAGTAGACCATGCCACTGCCTATCAGGAGAGGGCTCTTCTGCATGTGTTCTGCAGTGAAGGGCAGGAAAGGGACTTGTACGTACCTCTTCCACAGCCGTGACTGAGTAGGCATGACCTTTGACGAGCCCACAAGACATCCGTGTTTCATACTGCATTGGCACTATGGTCTGTTAGACAGAAGATGGAAACATGACAGAGTCATGAAAAGCTTTGCTGACTGCCCTAAGGCAGGTAGTGCCACCCAGGGCTTTTGGGGTAAGGCACCATCCAGATAAAAGGGTTTTTTGTCTTTGCGTCTGCCAAAGTGACCAAGGTTAGTGCCCACAGGTTAATGTTAGTAGTTAGAAAGAAGTGGAGCAAGAACTAAAAAAGCAAGAAGTTAATATTATGAATTGAGAAGGACATTCTGTGAGTTACTTTTTCCCTTTGTGCAGGTTAGTGCTTAGCTAGCATTTAGAATATTTAATCAAAACACTTAGATTTTGTATTAGTAGAACTACTCTGCCTTTTCTGGGATATTATGTTCTTGTATGGCTCAGTAAGTTTTTTGCATATTAACTGGAAACATCAGAGCAGATCGACACCTAGATCAGGATGGTTTGGGTTGGAAAGGACCTTAATATCATCTAGTTCCAAGCCCCCTGCCATGGGCAGGGACACCTTCCACTACACCAGGAACACTTCCGTCTTTACACACAGCTGCTATCTTATCACAATGACATTAAAACATCCTATTTAATAAACTGTTCCAACTAATTTACACTATTTTTTTAATCAATTTTCTGTGGAATAAAATGTACATTTCCACAGGAAATTAAACCTCATTACTGAAATTTTTCTTCAGCGATGTGTTGCTCAGAGGGGTAAATACATTTTCTGTCTTGGTAATCAAGTGTTAGTGTGTCTCATAGATTACTTCACCTTCTTCATCACATCTGTCTCTAAGAGATGCCTGTACAGCTCTGCCAGTAACTCTCCTATCCCTTCCTGACATATCTGGGCATGAGAAAGGCAGGGCTGGAAACGGAGAATTAGTAAAGTCAAGTCACACAGGTACATTTGCAGCTTGCCCAGGGAGGATCTCATGCACATACTTCCTTGCTGTCACAATTATTTTCCATTTCCCTTTTCCTCCTGTTTCTTTTTCTTTCTTGCTCCTGTTTCCATACTTTTTATGCCTATAACCTCGTATCTATTTCCTTTTTTTCTTCATTTCTACTCATATTGTTCCCATCATTACTTACCAGAACCCTTTTCTCACACTTTTCTGTTTAAGAATACTAACTTCTGCTGGTGCTCTGGGTCACTTCTCTGAAGTGCAACTGCAGCCTGCACTATCCACACACATCATCACCAGGAGTCATGATTTTGTTTCTGGTGATGGCTCAGGAATGTGTAATAACCAGCAGCACAACAGGGGCTGAGCAGCAAGTATAGAAAGAGTTTTGCAACCTTCCTTCAGTAGACAGTCACTGGAGAGGAAATTCCCCTCAAAACATGGGTGATTTGGGCAGCCATGCTTGCAACACAAGGCAGTTACGCTGGGCTTTCCTGAAGAATTACACCATTTCAGTCTTCTGGGAAGACTAAATATGGATGTCAAAAGAGGAAGAGTCAGCTACTTCCGCTGCAAATACACAACAGTTTGCACAACCAAAAGTTTTATGTATTATTATGTAATTGTGGAGGTTTATTTTGGTTTGGTTTTTCCTTGTTTGTTGGCTTGTTTTCTGGGTTATTTTCTTTTCCTTTTTTATTTCTCTGTAAAGCAAGCAACATAATTTCGTTGTCATGGAAATGCTCCCTAAAGCATTACAGCTGCCTGGCAGAGAGAAGGAAGAGGCAACATGTCCCTCCACAGATTTGAAAGCTTTTGAGTTTACCAATATAGGATTTTTCTTAATTTTCTCTTTATTTTGCTACATACTTGGGAATGTTGGAGTTACTTTGTATTTTATTGCACATATAAAACTCAACATGTTTTTCTTTCCCTTGTTAAGCTTCTTAAATGAGGGAATTAATGGCAGTAATCTAAAAGGAACATCCTGAGAACAGCCCCCTCCATTTGTGGGCAGAGCCCCATAACACTCTCAAAATAAGTTCACCAAGTGCTTTTGTGTCTCAAGTGAGCCCCGTGCAGAGCTTGCTTTTTCTTCCATTCACATCCCCACACACCCTAGGGGATCTTTTTCTAGCCTAGTATTTTAATTGTCTTGTTCTCACAACCTTTTGCAAGTAAGGGATTTGATAACATCCACTAATCGTTTCCTGTTCTGAAAATGATAAGCCTGTGCCGCAAGCCAGCAGTATAAGCAAAGCTCTCTCGTATCAGTCACTGTGTTTTAAAGCACTGAAGTCTTTTAACACATATGTCAAATAGCATATATAAGAACAGGTCTTTAGTGTTGGAATAATTCAGTGCAGCCAAATATGGATTTAAAAGAATAGGTGACATGTTTCTCTAAGTGTCTGTAAATGAAAGCACTGTGTAGTCAATCACTTCTGGAGACATACGAACCCAGGCTGGCCTCTCATCCGTCGCCTGGTAGTTTACAGTGGGGTAACTCATCTGTGAGTTTTCCAGATTCTTCACCATTCGAGCAATCAGTTCCCCGATGTCGCCCCGAGGAGCTGATCCATAAGAAAAGCCTAGTTGATCCTGGGACAGAGAATGGGAGAAAAGTATTATGCAAAAACATGAGACAGGGAGAGAGAAGAGAAATCCTACAAGAAAGATGAATGGTAAAAGACAGCCTAGATAACTTCTTCCTCATTATGTCCATACTCACCTGCAGTGGTTGATAGCACCAGTTGTTTTCCTACCTTTACTGTAACTTCATAATCCATAATGGTTATTGAAACTTTTTTTTTTTAATCTTAAATTTACCACAATAAATTAAGACAATCTGAGGCTACACTGGCAATTGAAGGGTTAAATTCCTATGTGTTGGCACACTTAGCATCTTTGACATGAAGATTTGTGTCTTACAGAGCTGCAGCACCCCCATACTAACCTCATTTTACTGGGCAAGGCAATGGAGGGTGGGGTGTTGGTTTTGCTGATCACACCCTTTCTCTCCACCTCCATGTTCTGCTTCTATTCATTTCCCTTTTGATTCTTGTTATTTACCAATGGGTGGTGTTTAGTGGAGATCACTCCATCTCCTAGAAATGGATGTTTGCTATGTGAACTAAACCACGCAGCTCCAAAAGGGGGCATATATTTGCTTATGGATTGAGAGGTCCCTCTGCTCTGACATTTCTTATGGCTCATCAAAAAGTTCAGATGGACTCACATCAATGGAGCTGGCCATGAGGGATCCTCTGTCAATGGCATGTTTCATGATTTTATAGATATCTTTAGGGGCATCCTTTATGTCATAGAACTCTGTAACTCCTCCGGTGAAGTCCTCCATGGCTTCGGTGGTGTTGCCTCCTTTCAAAGCTTCGTATGACCCATGGAGTCTTGGAAAGAGAAAAGAAAAATATTCCCTTTTACACAGATAAAAATACCCACATATGTATTTTTACCTCTATTGTATATGTATGAATACAGATCTGTAAACACACATACTAAGAAAACCCACAAACCATCTGCTTGGTAGCCCACAAGTTAAAAGTTTTAAAACATGCCACCTACACACATTAAAAGAAAAAAAACAGATATGTTGAGAATTAAATGAAGTCCTCTGAAGGAGCAGCAAAACCTATAGAAAATACGCTTTACCCCATTCCCAATTCTGAGCATAAGAATCTAAGGGAAAAGGCACAGTGCATTCAGAGACTGTCTCCACGCTCATTGTAAGTCCTGTACTCAGTGGTTTAACCACCTCCCCAGCCAAAGCCTTGGTGGGGATCCCCAGCAGAGTCTGGTGGGTCTTTTACTTTGCATAGGCCTTTTCCAGGAGGGCGCTCCAGAACTCATTGCGCTGGGAGGACTTGGTAAAGACCAGCTGGTTGTTGTACGTGGGTAAGCAGTCATCGATGACGACGTCCACCCAGTCTCCATAGCGCCAGAACTGAATGAAGACAGAGAAAACATATGGGTTGGCTTGGTGCAGAGAGCAGGAGCCTGGCTGGAAAGCTGGGCTGAGAGAGCAGAGATCATAGAGCCATAGAATGGTTTGGGTTGGAAGGGACCTTAAAGCCTATCCAGTTCAAACCCCCTGCCAGAGGCAGGGACACCTTCCACTAGAGCAGCTTGCTTAAAGCCCCATCCAGCCTGGCCTTGAACTGCCAAGGATGGGGCAGCCACAGCTTCTCTGGGCAATCTGTGCCATTGTTACAACCCTCATAGTAAAGAGTTTCTGCCTTATATCGAACCTAAATCTCCTCTGCTTAAGTTTGAAGCCATTGCCTCTTGTCCTATCACAAAAGTCTCTGATGAGGAATCCTTCTCTGGGAAAATGTGGAAATTAACTGCTTTGCAATGTGACTACTGGGAGGGAGGCAGCCGTACCGAATTCCCCTGGGCAACACGTGCGGGACAGTGAGAAGTCCGTTAGGAGAGCCAAGGGAAATGTGGAAAGCCGTCAATCTTTTCTGAATAAGCAGTTCTTCAGTAACTTGTTTTTGTCAGACCACCTGCTTGTGGGCCTAAAAATAGATGCTCTTGCATGTCTGTGCTGGCTGTAGTGCTCCATCTGAGCAGGGAGACAGGACTGGGCACCTGTTCCTATCCCTTACGCACAGGACACAGCAATTTGCAAATGCTTCCTGAGCAGGTTGATGATCCCTCATTGCTTGTATGGGCTGGCTCTTCTGTGACTGCCCTGTTGGAAGAGTTTGGGGTGAGGCAATTCAGTGCCTTTTCCTTCCCCGCTGTGGCTCACACTTCCAAGGGATGGAGAAGGGAGAGGAAAGAGCGTGCTGAGAGCTGAGCTCTCTCTTGGGTAATCAGTTACAACTGCTTTCCACTAGATGAAGAGACTCACCTGGAAGTGGAAGATGCCAGCATAGTTTTGTATAAAGGACTGGTCATGAGGTATGACTTTACAGAGTAGTTTTTTATTCAGCGTCAGACAAGCAATGGCAGCCAGGAACCAGCAGTCACCTGTAAAGGAGCAGAAACAGCGGACAAACTGAAGGCACAGAGCAACTAGAAACAAGGGAGAACCTGAGATATTGCAGTGACATGTTGATTGTCAGTAGGGCATGCTGTCACCTTTCAGGAAAGGGCGCTTCTCCATGTGTTCTGCAGTACTTTAGTACTTTATTTATTTGTGCTCTGGAAATGCTCATTGGCATCATTCACAGCTAGGTACATGCCTATTAAATAGATGATGTTCCTGTAATTTAGAAAAAGCCTAAAACTTGAGTACTGTAACTGTGCTAAGATTTGCCTGTCCCATGTGAATGTGTATCTGACCTTCCATGTTAGTAGCCCTTCCAAGCTTAGCACAGAGGCTGGCTGAGAGGTAACTCTCGCAGGTGGAGCTCTGCACAGCTGAGGTTCAGTTTCACATGTTCATTTTCTGCTCAGAGGATAACCCACTGCCCCACTCACAGTTCTGTGGGGCCTCTTTCCTGCTTCATTGCTCTTGACGTGTTTTCCTCTTTTAGAATCCATGTCTGCACTCTTGTAAACACTCTCCTCTTTAGCACTTTGCAGTTCCTGCTTCAGACTCTTGCATAAGTTTGCTGCCTCTGTGGGAACTCTGAGAAGGTGACTTTCTCCCATAGTACTTCTGTGTTCAGCAAAGAATGCCTCAAGCCATAATTAAAACCTTTCAGCTGCTACTGCAAGAGCAGTTATAGGGTAAGCTTGCCTGAGCAGTGTGAATTAAAGGGCCGAGAGAATTTCATGAGGTGGTAAAAACTAAATCTAATTACAGGGCACTGGAAAAGAAATTTATGAGACTGGTGGAGAGATAAAACATCTAGAAATACATGTACGTATTTTTGAAAGCTAACTCTGTACATATAGCAGTACATTTTAGGTTACCTATTTCCCCTTAGGAAGGATGTGGGGTCCACTATGACCAGGAGTTTTGAAAACTATGCAAAGTTCAGCAGAAGTCAAAAAGGTAAACAGTGCTATATGTAGTTGGGGAAGGAATGGAAGACAAAAAGAGAGAACATATTATGCATGTGAATTCATTTGGGGCCACAAGTTAGTAAATGTGGAGTTCTGGTCACCTCAAAAAGAAAGGCAGATTTAAGTACTAGGAAGGTGATGAGGACAGTCACGAGCATGTAACACTTAATGAAAAGATTAACACAATTAGGATGTATTAGCTCAGGAGAAAGACCACAGGAGAATGTGGGGAATGACTTCACAAAGCAGTGCAGGTCAGCGTTGCAGGGGCATCACTTGTGCCTAAGTAGTGGCTTTATATATCAAAGTATCTTTAAGCATCTGAGCTTAAGGTCTTCAGTATAGGGGTTGTCTTTGAGTAGAAGGTGCTGGAGGCTTTCAGAAGCTCCTGTATGGAAATAACAGACTAAATACCTGAAAAAAATGCAGTAGCTGATTAAATCTTTTTCTCAATCAACTCCTCCTCTTTATCTCTCCCTCCTTTTCCCCTCCTCCAAGACTGAAAGAAAGGCTAGAAGGTGTTCTGTAACCCACTCATGATAGTAGTTCATGAAAAGCAAAATACCCTGCAAAGCTTCTTTCACTTCAAGTTCTTCCCTACATTGTTACTAGGCAGATACTAATGATTTGCTAAGAGAGAAGGAATCAATAGAGGTGTAGTGACTTCAAATAACACCTTGGAAGCAAAAGAAAATAAAGTGAGAGCTAAACTATGATGCACACTGCAAAAAGTACAGAGTTTAAGTAACAATCTCATACCTAATTCTCCTTGGCAGATATCTGTTCTGTTGGCTCCACCAATAATAAACCGTGGGTTCTCACAGATTTCCTGCAAAACAGAACCAAATGAATGAGCAGAAAGCTGTTTCATTATGATGTGTTTGCCACAGAAATAAAGGCTCTGTTAGGACAATGTTTTCCTGTAGGATAGTTTGTGGATATCAAAATCTCTTGCAGAGTTGTCTCCTGCAGAGTTTCACTATGAAAATGTTTTGGAATCTGGATGTTGCAGACTTCAGCCAGAGTTCTATCCGTGCGTCTACAAAGTCTAATAGCTAGTCTGGGGGAATTCTCAGGAATAAGTTGCTGGTTAAGAGATTTTCTTCTTTTCCTCATGTTGCAGGACTATATTGCCAATGCTGCATTCAGAAATGCACATCATCTATCCTCTGAGGAAGGTCATATTTTGTCCTGCACTTAGGACAATGCATTGGGTTTGTCAGTATTTATACTAGTACAGAATAGACACAAGATGCTATACAGGCATAAATACTTAATGAATTGCTGTAAGGAGGGAAGGACTATGTAGGAACTACTAGCAAATGAGGTTGGGACTATTGCAGGGTTACACAGCCTTTTTCTATATGGACAAAGAACCATGGGGTGTAGGAAAACCAAGGGAAGAAGTAGGTGCAACCTGTCCTATAGAGGAAAAAGAAGTCCCTGCTTTATCCCATCTCTCATACTTAAAATACTTGGTATGGGAAAGAAAAAGAAGACACTGGGTAAGGGAACTGCTTCCCTGAGCAGCTGCAGGTGGGGAAGAAGACAAAGTGTAGTCCAAGAACCCCATCTGTTGGAAGATGGCAAGGCTGGAAAGGAGAGGAACAAACAACTGACAGTTGCTTGTGTGGCAGTACAGGCAGCTGTTGTCTGTCTCTGAGGTCTAAAACTTTTATCCCCACATCATCAGAGTAGCCCTGGATTTCCCAGACACATTTCAGGTCTTTCAGTTTCACTCGGCTTGCGCCCACTGCTTTGCTCCTTCACAATAATCATCAGAGTTGCTTTGATGTAAGTATCTGGATTAGTCATATAGCCAGATAGAGAGACCAGCTTCTGGCAGTCACCTTATTCTCCTTGAGGAAGGAAGTGGAGGGATTGTCCTGTTATTCTGGGCCTTGGTCAGCTGTTCTGGGGTGCAATGCTGTCAAGGCAGCTGTTTGAGATGCCTTCATGCTTTTCTCCACCCACTTGCTTTGTTGAAAATACTCTTCCTCACATTGCTGGGGTGCTCTCCTGAAAACTAGCTGTTAGATGCCAGGTTTATGGATTGCTTTTTTTCAACTGCTATTACTGTATTTTGGCTTGATCCTGCTCTTATGGAAGTTACAAGCTCTGAAATCCAGCATGCTGTGTTTCAGATGAAGTTAGATGGTGACTAAGTGTTTCCAAATATTAAGTGTACAGCAGTGATTGTTCCTCAGAGCCATTTATTACATCCTGAGCTTGTTTGCTTTGGAGGGTGGTGGTAAAAGAATGCAAAGGAGGGAATCCTGCAGTTGCAATATGGGCTGATTTAGCTATGACAGAATGCTTTTCTTGCATTTCTTTGTGGTGGCCAGGTGTGCTTAGTGCACTATGGATATGCTTTTAATGTATTACTCTACACCAGCTGTGCTAGTGGTGCTGAGTATAGCTGAAGTTACAGTGAGAAGTTTCCAGGTCTTCCAAGGCTGATGAAAAGTACCCAGCAGTGTGAGACAACCTGTTCTTCAAGATGCAAGTGGCAGGTCTGCCCTTCCGGTCCTCCTGGCTGAGCAAGGGATTGCTCTTCATCTCTTAGGTCAAGTTATCATTGAGGAATCCCAAACGGCTGCGCTTCACTGATGCAACGATTCATCTAGAAGTAGCCTCCTTTCATCTGAGTGCCTCAGACTGCCTTGGTGCTATCCAAAGGACCTTTTTGTTCACTGGGTTGATTTGGTTGGGGTTGTAATTTCATTACAAAAAATCAAAGTTATAGTACGGGAGACAGAGAATCGTAGAGAAAAATGCATGAAAGTGCACGCATTTCTGGGAAGAGAGTATTTATGAGTCAGTTGGAAGGGAGCACTGGAAAATGCAGAGGCAGCACACAACTAAAAATGGCATTTGACCTTTGTTATATTTTCATTAGGTTTTCCTCTGTGTCAGGAAAAATCCTTCAGTCAGCTTACACTGTTGCAGCAAAAGGCATTTATGGCATTCTAAGAAAATTCCCTAAACTGATCCTGTCAAGTAGAGGAAGCACCTTCTTTAGCCTGCTTAAGGCAATCTTTAGCCTCATGCTTCTCCCTTGGCCTCTGATGGTCTAGACCATGCTATTAAATGGCTGTGCTGCACACTTCAAGGCAGAGCTCGACATCGTCAGACATCAAACTAGTTTTAGAGTCTGAGCTGGATGCTGTCATCTGATAGACCTGCCTTGGTGGCACTAAATGCCGTTTTTCTGTGTGATACTGCCTGCAGAGGCACACATTTGTGATTACTGCACTCAAACAGCTTCACACCTGTGCAGCAGATGGTGTAAGTAATCTTCCTTCTAAGCAAAATCTGCTAGTCTACTGACTTGATTTTACTTGTGTTATGCAAAGATAGCCCCTTCTGCTGGTTTTCTTGGCTACATTGAAGATCACCATAGAGAAGTCACTGAATCTGGCAGTTAATGCTGTGACCTCCTGGCTGTGATCAAGGAGAATGACCGTGGTGCATTTGAAAGCACAGTGTCACAGCAGAACCTTCCTATTTATGTCCTAGTGTCATTAGATCCAAACAGGACTGCAGCAGGACCTCTCCATACTCTTCACTATGTTATAACACAGGCTTTTTCTCAAAGACTGGTGACCCTGTCACTGCTCTCAGCTGACAGGAGCCCCCAGAGGCAGCATAGGTGCAGGAGGATGAGCCTGTTAGGAAAACAGCACAGCCCATCACTGAGCTGGATATAACCTGGTGCAGGTGAGAATGGCTCTTTGGGATTCTCTTACCTTCCACAGCTGAATGAATGGTTTAACATTATTTAATACAGTATTTGTATTTAATATTATAATTAATATTATTAACTCCCACCTACATACCTAAATCATGCTCATGCATGGTTTTGTTCATAGCCTGAACAGAAATGCTGGAAGGCTCCTGCAGTCTTTACTCAGGGAAGCTTTCAGGGCTGTCTCTTGGCTTTTGCCTGACTAGAGCATTAGGAGGTCTGCTCCATGCATTCATGGCATGGCATGGCAGTCACTAGCTGGGTAGAATTACAGGGGCCTTCTTGCTGCCCACATGCCAGGGCTCAGAGCTGCGTTGCATGGCAGCCATCTGTCTGTTGGCAAGGCACGAGAACAGTCCTCGTGTCCTCACAGCAGCAGAGACCAATCGTTCTGGGAGGTGGCTGAGGAGGACCTGACCTCTGGGTAGCACTGACTGCAAAGAGAAGAGCATGTAGTGCCAGATGCAAGAGCTGTAGGGCTGGATGCTGAACACCTCTCACCACCTCAGTAAGGAATTACAGGAGCCTGTCGAGGTTTAACCCACAGCCAGACAGCTTGTTACCCACTCCCCCCCCTTCTTGCCCTCCCCCTACTCCTGGGGGAACGGAGAGGAGAATCAAAAAGAATGCAACTCCCACGGGTTGAGATAAGAACAGTTTAGTAACTAAGGTACAATACGAATCACACTGCTACCACCAACGACAACAATGATAAAGAAAACAGCAAAGGAAAGGAGTACAATACCACGCGCCGAACCCCAGTCCGACCCGGCCGACCCCCTCTCCTTCCGGGTCCCCCCAGTTCCCCCCTCGGCATGACGTGCTGTGGTATGGAATACCTCTTTGGTCAGTTTGGGTCAGGTGTCCTGTCTCTGCTTCCTCCGGCCTCCCCTCCTCCCTGGCAGAGCATGAGACTCACAAAGTCCTTGGCCAAACCAAAACATCTTTTTCAGCTTTGTTCCAGCGAAAGTCAAAACACAGCACTGCACCAGCTACCAAGAAGGAGAAAAATGACTGCTAAACCCAGGACATTATCCACCCCTTATTCCATACCATTCACGTCATGCTCAGATCCTACATTTTCAATATACCATCACTCTGATCTAAGTGCACTCTCATCGTAGTGCATGGACCAGTCCCTATAAAGCTGCTGAGTCCATCTGGTCCATGATGCAGGCTCCATCTCTTGTAACAGTCTTTCAGAGCAGGAGAGGCTGTGTGCAGTGTTCACACACATGAATAACCTGGGCAATAGTGTCCATTGCTAAGTCCACCCCTCGATCATGAGTCCATCTCGATGTTGCATCTCTGCTCTGTTGGCCTTAAGGGTCATGGGCCCACCAGGTTCAAAATAATTCACTGTCCTTCCATCTCCAATGTTTCCAAAGCACTGGAGGGGCCCAGTGGACTAGATACTTGCCCATACTGTCCCACACACCCTGCCACTCATGGCTGTCCAGCCTTGGGGAAAACCTCTTGGTCCTCCCATATTGTTGTCTAACCCCAGACAAGACCCAAACCTGACTCTGCTTAACTTTTGAAAACAGATGAAATAGTTGTGGCCAAAATACACTCTGTATACGTGCCAACATGGTGATCCCCATCACAATCAGCAAACAAGTCTCAATAGCATTAAAAGGCCATTTAAAACTCTCAAATGATGCTGTAAATGCTCTGGGGGGAGGAATGGGAGGGTAAAAGAATGCCTCCTTCACAGGTTGACCACCCGAGAAGGAGAAAGAATATGTGTAATTGCTAAGCATTTCTATTATATACCTCCCAAAGTATAAAGGTGGTGACCATACTGGGAACATAAACCAGATAAGTTTCATGATCAATAATTCTATTGTGTTACAAGTCATCATCATAAAGTACACTGAGACAAGAACTTTAGCCAACCCCACACTTGAAAAACCTAAACAGCAATAGATCTAAGTAAATTACACATTCTGAAGCTGTGAGATCAAGAGGAACAACTTTGAGAGCCAATAAATCAGCATTGTGATGAGTGACTATTAATCCGGTCAGATCTGTTGTTATCTCAGCCCCTTCGCCCCACGTTGGGCGCCAAAAAGAACTGTCGTGGTTTAACCCACAGCCAGACAGCTTGTTACCCACTCCCCCCCCTTCTTGCCCTCCCCCTACTCCTGGGGGAACGGAGAGGAGAATCAAAAAGAATGCAACTCCCACGGGTTGAGATAAGAACAGTTTAGTAACTAAGGTACAATACGAATCACCACTGCTACCACCAACGACAACAATGATAAGAGAAAACAGCAAAGGAAAGGAGTACAATACCACGCGCCGAACCGCCAGTCCGACCCGGCCGACCCCCTCTCCTTCCGGGTCCCCCCCTCGGCATGACGTGCTGTGGTATGGAATACCTCTTTGGTCAGTTTGGGTCAGGTGTCCTGTCTCTGCTTCCTCCCGCCTCCCCTCCTCCCTGGCAGAGCATGAGACTCACAAAGTCCTTGGCCAAACCAAAACATCATTTTTATCAGCTTTGTTCCGAGCCCGAAAGTCAAAACACAGCACTGCACCAGCTACCAAGAAGGAGAAAAAATGACTGCTGCTGCTAAACCCAGGACAGAGCCCCAGGGAAAAGGTCAGGTCACAGCATGGCCATTGGCAGAGCAAGCGGAGAGAGCCCTGGTCCTGTCAGTGAACATGTGGATTGGGAGCTGAGGGGATCTCAGGGGACCATCCATGTGGCTGATGTGCTGTGGAGTCCTTGTAAATCCCATGTGCATGAACAGACTCACAGACTTTCAGTGTGTCAGCACAGAATGCTGAAAGCTACAGCGAAGAACATCTATTCAGCTGAGCAATGGCACTGTCATCAGTGCTTGGTTATAGTGCTGGTAACCAGCAAACACATGCCTTTTAGATTGACTTTGTGATTCTTCAAGCAGTGCTTGGAGCTTCTGGAAAAACTGGTACTCAACAATCCCATGTGGATTCATGTCATTGCAAGTAATGCTCATTTAAAGCCATCATTAATCTTTCATGAATACTATATTCTCATACATTAGTCTCAGGTGGTAGGGCGGAGCTTGGGTACAAATCGATTAGGTGGCATGAGTAAAGTGACTCAGGAGGCCAGAAGCAGTCAGGATCAGGTTGCCTACTTCCCAGCTCTCTTGTTGTAAATGAGATCTTGGAGCACACTGATGGCATTTATTTGCTATTTCTGGGGGTATGTGGAATATACAATATGTGACAGAAATCAGGGAAAGGATCTAGAGTGAAGCCAGTATTAGGATGTTCTCTCAGGACTTCTGAGCTCTCTGATATTTTGCTTTATTTTAGAACACATTATCAAGTTTGAGTAAATTCAAGCTTCACCTAAATTTCAAAGTGATTAAAAATTACCACTTTATAAGAGTATAGTTTATAAGCTAGTTGCTTTCTTTCCCCAAGAAATGCCATTGCAGTTTAGTAACAGAGGTTGTCTGTCTTCACAGACTATTACAAAATGTGGCCATGCAGTTGAACCTTTACATTTGGTTATTGAATGATTGCTTTAATCTCTTAGCAAAATACTTTTTAGCCCAGTATTACTACTTCATATTCATTTGACTTTACGATGTTATGTTAATGTGTCTAATATTATTAGTGTATATAGTGTTATCAGACAAGCCCTCCTACCAGTGCTATAGAACATACAGTTTCAAAGTCCAGTGAAGTAAAGTCCTGGGTCAATCTGACATCAGTGGTATAGATGACAAGGTAGAGGACACCTTATAAAAAGAGAAGGTGTTATTTATGAGTCTCTTCCCTGTAGGGACCTGCTGGGTACAGCAGTGACCCAAATTACAGGGTTTATTTTAAAACAGACACATTTGCAGAAGGCAGAGGCGTCTCTATGGATCAGGTCCGCTGTGTCCCCAGCAGGTCAGCCATCACTATCAGGGTCTGGGCTGAAGTGGATCCCTGATCCTATAGCATGCCACTATGCGCTCTGGATGTCCTGCTCTACCTGCAGCCGGCACCACAGATACATCAGGTGACTGAATACTTACATCAAAAGAACATAGATAGCTTTATGTTTGTTGTTTAGGTGGTGTGTTGAGCCTTACCGTCCCCAGCTTGTTGTTGCTACACAAGTAAGTATAGAACTTCCAAACGTGTTTGTTACCAAGTGGCTTCAAGTATTTGCAGTAGGGATCCTGAAGCCTGAACCTTCCCAAACCCAAACTCTTGATCTGTGCATGCTCATTTATAATAGTGTGAAGTTACATGTTGCTTTTTTTAATGTTTTGATGCTTTCTCATATGCATGCCTGTAGTTTGTCTCCCCATCTGTCACTCTTCCACTGTACTGCTACGTCACTTTGTAGAGAAAAGGGGAGTCTCATCCCTTTGAGATGATTCACTTGTGGCTGCATTTAACTCATTCACACACATCTCCAGGGCTTGATGCAGCAATTGTGATGATGAAGGAATTACAAAGTACAGACACAGGACATGGCAGGTGGGGGATTCATGTTGCCCAGTCCACATTGCTCACATTGTGACAGCAGCACGTGGCCTTCCTCTGCATCTGTAACAGCTACCTACAGGAGCGCCGGGTATTGTTACACTCCTGGGGTTAGTTTTATCTGTCAGGTTTACCAGCACTGACTTGGCCATTGAAGCAGAGATTTGGGTGTTGGAAAGTATGGCATAGCTAGAAGAGGTAGCTGAAAATTGCCAGAGAGGGAGCTGGGGAAGCTCCTCAGAACCACATCCTCGCTGCTGGAAGGGGGGGCAGTGTACTGGGGGCTGCTGCACTGGAGGGGAGCAGCTGCCCAGCACGAGTGACAGGGAAAGAGGGAAACTCTTCCTACGTAGGACGAGGAATCAATTGGGAACTGGGGAGTTATTCCTCTGCCTGTGAGAGCCATTCAGGGTGGGAAAGAAGAGGAAGGCTGGCTGTGAAATACCCATGAGATAGGAAAGAGAGATGCCATTATTTAGGCAGGAGTGGCTACTTGTAGTGATTACAACACCCACATCCCTGATATGTGGATAATACACTAAACAACCTTTGCGAGTCAGCTAAGCAATGTTGAGAGCAAACAACTGAATAAAAGCGTATTTCAGACCATAACCTGTCCTTTTGTTTTCACAGATTGGGAAAAACAGCAGAATACTAAAGTACAGTTGTAAGAGAAATAAGATAGTGTTTAAAAATCAAGCTTCAGCAAACCAAATAACTTGTTGCAGAATGATGAGAACTTTTCTTTGGCAGTTTCAGACAAGAAAATCCCTAGGAAGTCATGCAAGAAGAAAATCATATTTCATATTTCCTTTTCTGCATATTTCATTCCATCTCTTACTTCACTTTAGTGTATTGTATTTTAGTCACTGTACACACACTCTTTGAGCCTCTGCAGCCTTAGCTAGTTATGTTCCATGAGAGCCCTAAGGAAATACATTTCCAGCTTACTGTCCCTGTCCCCCTGACACACACTTTTTTGCCAAAATGTAAGCTCAAGGTGAGTTTTTAAATTTAACAAAAGTAAAAGGCAATATGTTACTTACACGTGGTCTTTTCCATTCGAACTTGATGGGGACTTTCTGGCTATAGAAGAGGGAGGACTCATTTGGTGGGAAATCAGGATCTTCATAGAGAATGTTTTTCTCCAGGCACTTCTTGTGAAGCTCCTCATAGGTCTTCTCCTTTACTCTGATAATGGGCTGGTTGCGACTTATAATGGCAGAATAAATCCCTCCTGTGCCCCCACCTGCACCTTCAGTTGTAGTAGTGCTAATAGCACTGGGAACTGACCCAGCAGCTGTCTGCTGAGCCACTGCTGCATTGATGGCGGACGGCATGGGAACCAGGCTTAAAGCAAGTGTTGAAAGAAAGCAAGATCTTGCAAACTGGAAGGAAATCTGAGAAAATAGGAAGTTGCTGAGCAAACCACTTTTTCTATCTGTTGAAAGTCTCCAAGTCAAATCTGCAAGTAGCGAAATTCCATGGGGTTGAGCATGTTGTGCCTCCTCTTGAAGGGCAGGATTTTGTCATCAGAAATCAGAATTTATTCCTTGATGTGGAATGAGATAATCTGTTGGCCAACTCCTGTGCCTGGGTTGTCGTATCTACAGCATGTGTGTGTGAGTGTCCAGAAGGGACAAGCTTTAACTCGTGTGATCTAAATATAACTAGAGGCAAAGAATGAGAGGGAGGGCAAGCGAGAGGGAGGGGGTTAGTGAGATGGTGTCAGTCTTCTGTGTAGCTTGTGCCAAGCCCATGCACATCCTCTGTGTGCAGGCTGACTCCTGGTTCAAGCAACTCATCTTCTCCTTATGCAGAGAGAACAGGAAACTGGAAGCTGAACTCCTGCTGCTTTGGGAGCATGCTGATGGAAGTACTGCCAGCCAATAAACTAGACCTGACCATCCTGAAGGAACTGTTGTATTTGACTTGTTTCTACCCTTTGCTGCAGAAAACAATAACATAGTAATTATATCCTGTTAGATATATAGAAATTTTTACTAGTAGAGAAGCTGTGGCTGCCCCATCCCTGGAAGTGTTCACGGCCAGGTTGGACGGGGCTTTGAGCAACCTGGTCTAATGGGAGGTATACTTGGCTGTGGCAGGTGGTTTGGAACTGGATGATCCTTATGGTCCCTTCCAACCAAAACCATTCTAGGATTATCTGAAGATAAACTCCTAATTGTGAAAAACGTAAATATTTCATGCTACTTAAGGCAGGTCAGTACCTGCCAGCGGGGCTTGGCTTCTCTAGAGAGCAGCTCACCAGCACCAAGATTCACCTAGTGATAGCTACCTCCCATGTAAAAGGCATCTTTTCATACAGGGGCAGAAGTTTAGACAGGGCCCAGTGTGGAAACTGGGCCATTTTCTGTGTGCTAGGATATCCCAATCTTAGAAGAGATGTCTGACTTTGCACATTTAATCTGTCACGCAACAGTGGGATGAGGAACAAATTCAGAGTCTCAGTGAAGAAAAATTAAACACATGTTGCTCTTCCCTATAACCCAGTTCTTTAAAAGGTGACGTTGTTTATGTGTCAAGAAAAGCCTCCTAACAGCTTGATTTCACTTTGATTGGGAAGTTCTTAAATCAAACGATGACATCAGTGTTATTTTTGCCTGATGCCACTAGTCTCTGGCTCATGTACACATTGCTGACATTCTGCCCTACTACTATGGTGTTTTCCAAACCAGTGATTCTCTTTTCTTTCTCAGCTATTTGCTTGGCTTAGGCATTTAAAATCAAGAGCACAATGGAAAATCTCTACAGCTCATTAAAAAAACTCCACTGGGGGAACTTATAACAATGGCAATATAGTTGGCAAGCTTGACTAACCTCTAGGAATACTAATCCTCAATCTTCTAACAATGACCTAAATCCTTTTCTTTTTATCATGAATGCAAGCCTTCTTGCACCAACAGGGCTATCAGAAGGGATGGATTCAATTGTTGGTGGAAATAAGAAAGCAATTGCTTCAGGGTGGGTTGCCCTGGTGCAGAATTGATGACTTCCGCAGTACATTTAGATGCAAGGATTGCAGGTGTCATATTTGACATTACTTTGCAGGACAGCTTGGCAGAGCCACGTGTCACACTTTCCAGGATATTTCAGGAGCAATGCAAGTAGTGAGATACAAGGACCTTTTGCTGCACAGCTTCAGAAAAAATACTCATTTTGGAGCCTGCGCATATGTTCTTTTTTTCATATTCTTCCTTCTTGCCCAATGAAAAAAATCATCTATTACTCCTTGTACACAGAGCTCTGTTTTGGGAAGAACAGTAAAACACACCCTTTGCCCTTACGAATTAAACCGCCTTTTGCAGCTAAATTTATTTAAAGCAGAAGTAGCTGACCTATTCAGACAGAGCAAAAGTGAGCAACATGGATGATAATATTCCTATTACATTTTTTTGAAGTTTTATCTCCAATTGTTTTCACCAATTGTTTTTTAAAAGATATTCTATACATTTATTTCTTGATTTATAGTAGAAATATGTGGAAAAGTATATGAGATGCTACAAATATCAATACAAATTGTATTCTTTGGAATTTATTTCCTTGGCTCTAAAGACACAACTACTTAAAATTTTCAGAACTGATTCCTATTGAAATCCATAGAAGTTAGGCACTTCATAACACTGAAAATTTGACCCACTACTTACTGTACTGCAGGTATCATACTGAAATCAGAGTATAAAAGAATAGTCATTCACTTTAATCAGATATGCTTCAAAAAATACTTAGTAATTATTCTCAACAGTAGAGAGACATCAGGAAGGAATAAGGCATGTAACTCACTTCATTACTTTATTTCACTTACTTTCCAATTTCAGAAATACCAGTTAAAACATTTCATTAAAATGCTAAACATAAGAAGCAGTTGTCAAATAATGCTTAGAAGCAGATAGAAAAATAGGATCTGTCACAAAAATAAGGTCTGTCTCTCTTGTTACAGATGCAAAAGGTCTATTTGCTACTGTTCTACCTGGATTATCTTGTCTGCATTAAGCACAGCAGCATTTAGGCTACCAGTTCCTGGAGCAGAGGCTCACATGGTCTGCTAGAAGGGGCTGACAAATAGAGGAACTCTGCAGAGGAACCTAAGGTTCTGGTGTGGAACAAACAGTGCCTGATAGTCAAAGCAGAGTAGTCACAGTTAGCTCTCACGCTTGCTATTCCCAGAAATCTGCCCTGCAGAGGACAAACAGCAGCAGGTGGGAATGACTGACCAAGCACAGGGAGAACTCGGTAAGAAGAGTAGGCAACAATGTACAAATGGACTGTTACAATACCTTTAGTTGGTAAAAATGGTGACAATCCTTTGTTTCCTAAGAGTTCACCTACTGATGTTTTCAGAAAATACTTCCTTATCTTGTTAAAAGAATTTAAGTAAATTTTGCCCTTTTATAATCCCCAAAACTCAACAGATGCCATGTTCAGGTTTGACTCAAAGCAGAAATGGTTTTAAAATAATATAGTTGACAAGTGTAGCAAATGGAAAGGGCAAACAACTTGAGCTGTGTAGCAATTGTAGCCTGCAAAAAGAGATGTCTTGTATGGAAAGGGCTGTGGCAATAAGCAGGATGTAAGGGATGTGGGACTTGAGATGCCTTCTAGTTTTAAAAGAGAAGAAAGCATCAGGACACGCTGGTTCTGTTTGCCGAGATGGTGGGAAAAAGGGGCAAGGGAACATTAGGGTGAATAAGCATGAAGTAGGATGGCTAAATGCAGAACTAATACCATTAAAAATCTGCTTTATAAATACCAAGCTCAATTCTCAGCCAAATAAAAACTGACCAAAAAGTTACTAAAGTGCGTGCAAGGGAAGCCAAACCTTGGCAAGAGTTGGAAGATGTGGAGAAGAGGTCTCCATAAGCACAGTTGCTTCACTGGGCTGGCTGTAACCAAAGACATTAAATCGTCCAAAAATGCCAATTCTTTCCTAACAAAAGGGTTTTTAAAAGTAGTACTTGCAGAGAATGGGGAGCAGTAACATGGAAAACATTTCTGCCTGAGCCTAGCTGCTATCTTAAGTCAGTATTGCACTTGCACATACCTGTGCCTTTTCAAAATCCAAATGCCAGTTTCAAAGCCAGCTGTTGGAGAGAACTCTCTGCACTCCCACATCACTGTCTTTTACTATCATCCAGCTGACTGGTACAACCTACTCAAACCTTACCTTCAGTGACTAAACTGTTTAACTAGCCTGTTGTTTACTTTCCTGCAGACTACCTAATTTTGCATTGTCATAAGGACTGGAAAGGGGAAGTGTCTGTAATCACAGTGGGTGGCTCCTTCTGTGCTTCTTTTCACAAGGCAGCTTGCAGGCAGAACCCTGCTGGTAACCTCTGTGTCTGGCATATCTACTGATGCTGCCTGTCAAACTGGCCCAGATCTGCTCAAACACTCCAGTCTCTGAACAGTGAGATGTCTAAATATTTACATTAAACCCCATGCCAGTGAGCCACAATCTCACCCCATCTATTTATGATTTTTTTGGTGCAAGTGAAGGCAGAACTCAGTCTTAACGCCTAACTGAAGCTAGCCTGGAGCAGACAGTATTTAGCTTTTTTTCCCCAGAGATACAATCCTAGTGCTATAACTTTTGCTTGAATAGAAGAGCTATCCAAGTTTAAATCAGTGCTTTAAAGGAAAATTGTAGGAAATGTTAATTTGGGGGTGTTGGTGGGAAATACGCTCCTTGATTCGACTGCATTCAACTTAACATTTTAAGTCATACTGATTTCCTCTCAACCTCTCAATGAATTCTCTTCAGAAGTTGTGTCTCCTTTCAGTTGATGCAAATCTTCCAGTCAGCAGCAATACTCAGGGCTATATTTTCCAGTGTCAGCGCAGAGGTCTTTGTATCATAGGTGAAAACCACTTCTTTTTGTTTCCCATCTGAACAGGACAACAGAATTTACTACATAAGAACCCTTCTGAAACACAGTTAGACACGACCCCCTCCAGTTTTTGATTCAGACTGTCCCTGTCACTGGTGAACTCCCTGCCACTGGTGAAAAAGGATTGAGTAAAAAAGAAATAGCATCTGCCCAGTATTCACATAAGAATGCAACAGACCTTTCACTATGGCACTATTAAGGATTCTTCTGGAAAAAAATACAGCCCTTGTTTCAGCATAGATTTTCCTCCAAGTATCCTAAAAGTCCTCAAGATTGACAAGTGGAGGAAAAAAGTCCATGTCCACATAATTCCTAAAGTGAAGGCACATGCTTGGAATGCATCCAGAAATGATAAGCCATTTCTGTAGATGCTTGCCTATAGACAGGGGATCCCTCACAACTTCTAGAGATTCCCACGTAGTCAGGAACTCCAGGCACTTTTGAATGAGCAAGAGAACAGAAAAGTAATTCTGGTTTTGTCTGCAGTTCCCTTTTCTAGACTAGGCAGGCTTACACATCAGAGCATCCTTCATCTGAAATGCTATCTCTGCTCATATTCTGTGCAAGATAAATTTATCTGAACTTGTTAATTCTGAACCACTTTTACTGATGTATCTATTGCCTTACAAAGCAACTGTTCTTCAGTTCTGCATGTAATATTAGTGGTGTGTAGCTGATGGCTCCTTTTACTAAATTCTGTCCTTGATATCAAAAAGGTAGCAATCAGAGCTAACCAAAGATGCTCCCCATGCTGGAACACCTCCTTTATCAAGCTGTCAGTTTGCCACCTTTTGTAAATGGCAGCAGAGCAACAGTATTTGAAAATATTGTAGTAAAATAGAAGTCAGGTCATTACCCTTGGAACAGGCTGTCACAAAAGTGGGTTGCTGTCCAAATCCCAGAACTATGACCCGTTCAACCACACACGTAGTTTGGTATTGTCCACTTTCATCTCTGCAACTGGAAAATTATTTCATACATTATTTCAAACATTAGTTACCATCCATCAGTAGAATTTCAACATCATATAATCAAAGTACTACTTCAGTCTCACCCTGAAAGTTCCTTTACTGGTTTCCTTTCCTCTATTTACTTTTCTCCGGAAACAAGTAAAACCTGTTTAGCATCTCTTTCCTTACAAGCAGGTATGATATTTTTGGCTTTTAGGTTGTTTCACTCAACCTTTATAGGTTATGTCCTCTTGTGCTTCCTTTCAAGTACTTTTCTTGCGTATTTTACCATGTTAACACTTATGGTGCATTTGTTGGTGACTTCTGGAGACTACGTGTAATGGTGTCTGTGGTTCCCACAAAGAATATCTCAAGCTGGAAGTGACCAACGCTTCATGTGTTGCTGCCCTTAGACTTACACAGAGCATGGTTTACCTCTGCAGTTTTATGACAGATTCTGCATGCGCCGGGACTTTACTAAGCAATTTATGAGACCAGTATGTTTGCAAGAAGGTCTCATAGACTTGAAGAGGCATTTCCAATGACAATGTGTTGGTGGCTTTTGTCCATAATTGCTGTTACCTGGAAGAAAGAATGTTCTTGTGGAAAGTGAATTTCCGATACAGGAACTGCTTCTTGTGGAGATATTGAAATGAGTGCCCATCATCTATGTAGAGCTCACCTATTGCACAAGCCTGTGAAACACACCAGATGGATTACAAATCAACAGCAGCTTCTAGTGCTGGGCAACAAGACTAAAACTCTTTCAGTATGTTATGCTTCATATTGAAGCATGTGTGTTTATTTTTCTTTAGCTACTTGTATCCCCATAAGGCTCAGGGAGTGCAGCTCCGAGAGTGCTTGAAGACTTGGACATTCTGGTTTTGTAAATTGATGTGGGTGCCAGGTGTCACCTCATTTATTAGAAGAGACAGTTGTGGGAAGTTCTGTCTGTGTTCAAGGGGAGGTCTGTGGCCTGCTTATTCTCTGCTCCTTCCTCCAAGGGACTAGAGGAGGGCTGAGAAAGGCCAGAAATACGCCCTGCTTCTGCTATACTCAAGATAGTCTCACTTTGAGGGAATGGTGGTGGGGAGGTGGGACCCCTCCAAGCAGAAGTGGAGGAGAACTATTTGGCATACAGAGGTATCATTGTGCTGATGAAACAGGCAGCAAGGACCTAAAAAGGTCACATGGAGTAAAAGAGAACTCTGTAAAAGGAACATCATCTCCAAGTACCTCTGTGTCCAGAGCCACGTGGAGTTCGTAAGAAGCATCTATCATCCATTCAGTAGATTTTCCAGCTGTGGTCTTCAGAGGTATCACAGTACCCCCCCGCTGGAATACAGGAATCTGCAAGAAACAAAGTCAGGGTAGAATGGTTCTTATTCTCTGATCATAACATTTTAGCTTGGAACAAGGATAACTGAAGCTGGCTCTTATCAAGGCTCAGAAATGAACTTTCACCACAAGTACGTAAAGAAAACTATTCAACTAACAATGGGAATATTAGTAATCTTCCTGTACGTGTACAAGTGAAATATCTT